AGTGAGAGAGAGAGTGTGTGAGTGTGTGTGTGAGTGTGTGTGTGTGCGTGTGAGTGTGTGTGTGTGTGTCTGTGTGTGAGTGTGAGTGTGAGTGTGTGCGTGTGCGTGTGAGTGTGTGCGTGTGTGTGTCTGTGTGTGTGTGTGTGTGTGCGCGCGTGTGTGTCTGTGTGCGTGTCTGTCTGTGTGTGTGAGTGTCTGTCTGTGTGTGAGTGTCTGTCTGTGTGTGTCTGTGTGTGAGTGTCTGTCTGTGTGTGAGTGTGAGTGTGAGTGTCTGTCTGTGTGTCTGTGTGTGTGAGTGTCTGTCTGTGCGTGTGTGTGTCTGTGTGTGAGTGTGAGTGTCTGTGCCAGTTATCTAGCAACAAACCAAACTCCACATCATTTATTGTGCTAATAAAAATTCAGTCAGATAAAACTCCAGCAGGACTGTGTCTCGTCTCCTACTGAGGGCATATCAGGCTTATCTAACACTTTAGTGTACACCATGTTCTGCCTTTGGCTTAGTTTAACACAATATGAGTATTAACACTTTGACATTATTTTATTTTATGATAACTCTAACTCCCGTATTCAATATACTGTTCATCTTTTTATTATACTAGCCAAATTTTTTATTCGCAAATGTACATTTTTGGGGAAGAACACACTACTGTCAGTTTTTCTGGTTGGACCGATTATAATTCTTGTGTTTTGTCTTTGATGGGCATAAAAAAAAACATTCAAAAGTCAAAAATTGCTTTCAATGTTTAACCTTGTATAATTTCCCCCCTCTGGTTCATGTTATGTTATTTACTTAATTATTAGTTTTTAGTTTATTTATTTATTTTACTTTCTTCCTTGTGTTATTTTTGAGATATTTTGTCCTCTATTGTTCTTGATATTGTGTAGTTTTGTAGGCTACTTGTTATGGAATATTTTGCCATTAATTAAAAACAAACAAACAAACAAACAGTGGGAGCGGCCAGTCAGAAGCGCTCTCTAGCTGACCATAATTTTTATGTTGTAGTACATAACTTTGAAGTTACCAAGCGGTGTTAACAGCAGACCAGACCTTAGGTTGAAAACCAGCTTTTCTAAAAAAAAGAAAAAAAAGAAAAGAAAAAAGAAATGTAAAATCTAATAATCAGAGTCGACTCTGATTGGTCCGTCCAGAGCAGCGCTGAGAAAAACAACAGGTTTACACCGCCATCTAGGGCCTGGATAATAAATTACACCACAATAACAACACTGAGAAAGCCATTGAATTAATTACACACATTGAAGAAATAAAATTATTTAAACTCATTCTTCCCGATCATTTTTCACATTTATAGAATCTCATATTTAATTCCATAACTGCAATTTCAAGCTGCCTATTCCAGTATTTATTCTATTTATATGAAAGCAATCGCTTGTGATCTCTTCTGCCATACACTGGAATTAATTATTATTGCACTGCTTATAATTATTGCACTAATAATAATCATCCAAAACGCATGGCCCGAGCAGCGCTGAGAAAAACAACAGGTTTACACCGCCATCTAGGGCCTGGATAATAAATTACACCACAATAACAACACTGAGAAAGCCATTGAATTAATTACACACATTGAAGAAATAAAATTATTTAAACTCATTTTTCCCGATCATTTTTCACATTTATAGAATCTCATATTTAATTCCATAACTGCAATTTCAAGCTGCCTATTCCAGTATTTATTCTATTTATATGAAAGCAATCGCTTGTGATCTCTTCTGCCATACACTGGAATTAATTATTATTGCACTGCTTATAATTATTGCACTAATAATAATCATCCAAAACGCATGGCCCTATGGAGGACGAAACCTGCAAAAACAATAAATAAATAAACACACAAATAAATAAATGAATATGCAAATAAATAAATAAATGTGTGTATAAATACACACATTCTTGTTTAAATACATATAGAAATAATTAAACGTGTGATTAACGTAGGCAAATAAATAATAAATTGGTGGGCAAATGGAAAATGTTAAAGGAAATGCTAAACTCATCCTATTTATTTTCCTTTGATCACTCATTTATTTCTGAATGTAGTTCCACATTTATTTTTCCTCTGCACAACATGCTAATGAGAGGGGGTCAACCGTGGACTTGCTCGGGTCTTGTGATAGCTGGGGGCACGGCTTTCCTGCTGACAGGAGATGCATGGTGTTAATACAGTATAGCCTAGTAAAGTCACCTTTGCCGTTCAACAGAGCAAGATACATAGAAAAACTGAGCCGTATTGTCCGTACAGTATCTGTGACTTTACAAACGACCCAACGGAATGGCCAGAGGTGTCATTTCCCGGCACTCGATATTCGCAAATCTAGAGACGGTCTCTAAAGTTACATCCGACACTGGTATACACTTTTCTTCAATAGCATTTGAGGAAAATGACTTACAGTAACACAGCCAACTGTGAAGTGTTCATGTAGTTCTCGGTTATAATGCACACCTTTTAGATTTTTGATATTTATTGAAATAAACTGTCAAATCATATATAAATATGTTGTTTATTTCACTACCGAATGGGCTCAAACAAAATATATATCATAATTTAAAACTCAATAGCATTGAGTTATGCTGAGCATGTGATTGGTTAGCTGGGCCAGTGTGTGCTGTGATTGGTTAGCTGGGCCAGTGTGTGCTGTGATCGGTTAGCTGGGCCAGTGTGTGCTGTGATCGGTTAGCTGGGCCAGTGTGTGCTGTGATCGGTTAGCTGGGCCAGTGTGTGCTGTGATCGGTTAGCTGGGCCAGTGTGTGCTGTGATCGGTTAGCTGGGCCAGTGTGTGCTGTGATCGGTTAGCTGGGCCAGTGTGTGCTGTGATCGGTTAGCTGGGCCAGTGTGTGCTGTGATCGGTTAGCTGGGCCAGTGTGTGCTGTGATCGGTTAGCTGGGCCAGTGTGTGCTGTGATCGGTTAGCTGGGCCAGTGTGTGCTGTGATCGGTTAGCTGGGCCAGTGTGTGCTGTGATCGGTTAGCTGGGCCAGTGTGTGCTGTGATCGGTTAGCTGGGCCAGTGTGTGCTGTGATCGGTTAGCTGGGCCAGTGTGTGCTGTGATCGGTTAGCTGGGCCAGTGTGTGCTGTGATCGGTTAGCTGGGCCAGTGTGTGCTGTGATCGGTTAGCTGGGCCAGTGTGTGCTGTGATCGGTTAGCTGGGCCAGTGTGTGCTGTGATCGGTTAGCTGGGCCAGTGTGTGCTGTGATCGGTTAGCTGGGCCAGTGTGTGCTGTGATCGGTTAGCTGGGCCAGTGTGTGCTGTGATCGGTTAGCTGGGCCAGTGTGTGCTGTGATCGGTTAGCTGGGCCAGTGTGTGCTGTGATCGGTTAGCTGGGCCAGTGTGTGCTGTGATCGGTTAGCTGGGCCAGTGTGTGCTGTGATCGGTTAGCTGGGCCAGTGTGTGCTGTGATCGGTTAGCTGGGCCAGTGTGTGCTGTGATCGGTTAGCTGGGCCAGTGTGTGCTGTGATCGGTTAGCTGGGCCAGTGTGTGCTGTGATCGGTTAGCTGGGCCAGTGTGTGCTGTGATCGGTTAGCTGGGCCAGTGTGTGCTGTGATCGGTTAGCTGGGCCAGTGTGTGCTGTGATCGGTTAGCTGGGCCAGTGTGTGCTGTGATCGGTTAGCTGGGCCAGTGTGTGCTGTGATCGGTTAGCTGGGCCAGTGTGTGCTGTGATCGGTTAGCTGGGCCAGTGTGTGCTGTGATCGGTTAGCTGGGCCAGTGTGTGCTGTGATCGGTTAGCTGGGCCAGTGTGTGCTGTGATCGGTTAGCTGGGCCAGTGTGTGCTGTGATCGGTTAGCTGGGCCAGTGTGTGCTGTGATCGGTTAGCTGGGCCAGTGTGTGCTGTGATCGGTTAGCTGGGCCAGTGTGTGCTGTGATCGGTTAGCTGGGCCAGTGTGTGCTGTGATCGGTTAGCTGGGCCAGTGTGTGCTGTGATCGGTTAGCTGGGCCAGTGTGTGCTGTGATCGGTTAGCTGGGCCAGTGTGTGCTGTGATCGGTTAGCTGGGCCAGTGTGTGCTGTGATCGGTTAGCTGGGCCAGTGTGTGCTGTGATCGGTTAGCTGGGCCAGTGTGTGCTGTGATCGGTTAGCTGGGCCAGTGTGTGCTGTGATCGGTTAGCTGGGCCAGTGTGTGCTGTGATCGGTTAGCTGGGCCAGTGTGTGCTGTGATCGGTTAGCTGGGCCAGTGTGTGCTGTGATCGGTTAGCTGGGCCAGTGTGT